AACACCAGTGACGTTTTCACTGATCAACAAAAAAGACATTTTTTTCGGGCCTGGACTTTTGCAATTTAATTTCAGGGTGCTGATTCCAAATCTGGCATCAGTTTTTGTCTATCGCATCAGGTTTTTGAGATATCAAATATTGCATTTTCAATAAAAACTTGCAGAAGAAAAATATTAAATAAATGTGGATATCTACATAAAATGATATTATAAACACACTATCCTAGAAATACAGCACCATATTTTAACACTAAAGCAGTCACTGACTCGCAAAAACTTGCAATCATAAGTGACGGAGTTAATTTCTGGCCTGGACTTTTGCAGCTGTTCTCGACTAATTTCAGGGTGCTGATTCCAAATCTGATCTCAGATTTGCTCTATCACATCTCATTTTTATGCTATCGGCATACCCCATTTTCATTGATTTTACCCGAAATTAACTCTGTCACTTATGATTGCAAGTTGTTGCGAGTCAGTGACTGCTTTAGTGTTAAAATATGGCGCTGTATTTTTAGGATAGTGTGTTTATAATATAATTTTATGCAGATATCCACATTTATTTAATATTTTATTCTGCAGTTTTTATTGAAAATGCAATATTTGATTTCTCAAAAACCTGATGTGAAAGACAAAAACTGATGCCAGATTTGGAATCGGCACCCAACAATTACTTTAAAACCGTTGGAATACCTTATGCCAGAATAAGTGTGTTGACCAGTGTTATTATCTGAAGCGGTCCCGGGCCTCCCCTAGGTCGACTCAGCCTCAGATGAGTACCTGGTGCGATGTGTAAACATCGCCGCTAGGGAGACAAAGGCGGCCGGGTGTGGTGCTGGCCACCCACCCCCTCGTGTGCTCGCTAACAGCACTTGCCCCAACAGTCTGTTAAGGCTACACAGGGGATCTTTGTCTTGTTTACGTGTGCACGTGGGCGCGTATATGCGTGCGTGTGTAAGCACTGGGTCACGTGGCTTGCCACCCGCTCTTCTGGACATCCGTAAAAAAGCAAAAAAACCAACAAAGGTTCGTAGTCATCTTCTTGGTTCTTTCGGTAAAGTCACGTAGAAGGGAAATAATAAAATAATAAAAAATAAAAATTAAAGTTTTTATTACTATTATTATTTCTTTTTATTATTATAATAAAATAATAAAAATAAAACATGATAAATGTATTTTTATTATTTTATTATTTCCCTTCTACGTGAATTTACCGAAAGAACCAAGAAGATGAATCCCTGCAGTCACGAAAGCTTTACATCGAAAAGCTTCGGAGCTCATCGGATTCCTCCGGTACAAAGTAAAGATTCTGATCGTGGGCTCGGTCTCGCCCAGGCTCCAGCCCACAGGCTCCGAGCCGCAGGGGCTCCCTGGAGGCCCTATGGCTCAGCCCCCCAGCGCCAGCTGTTCCCTGCACAGCCGCCCGGCTCCCTCCCTCCCTCCCTCTCTTCTTCGATCAGTGGAAACAAGAAGATGCTCGGTGTAGTCGGCACTTTGCTTCGTTCATCATTTCGTAAAAAACATATTATTTTTTTATTTTTATTTACTTTGCTTTATGTAAACCCCCACCTCTCGCTCACTCAATCGCTCACTCTCTCGGTCACTCTCCCTCGGTCACTCTCTCGCTCACTCTCTCGGTCACTCTCTCGCTCACTCAATCGCTCACTCTTTCGCTCACTCTCTCGCTCACTCTCTCGCTCACTCTCTCGCTCACCCTCTCGCTCACTCTCTCGCTCACCCTCTCGCTCACTCTCTCGGTCACTCTCTCGCTCACTCTCTCGCTCACTCGCTCACTCTCTCAGTCACTCTCTGGCTCACTCTCTCACTCTCTCGCTCACTCTCTCGCTCACTCTCTCGCTCACTCTCTCGGTCACTCTCTCGCTCACCCTCTCGCTCACCCTCTCGCTTACCCTCTCTCTCTCTGGAGGGGGGGGGGGGGGCTGCCGCTGCCTCTATCTGTTGCTGCCCCCCCCCCCCACTACTACCCCCCTTAACCCCCCACCCTCCCCCCCCCTTGTTCTTCCCAGGATAGACCGAACCTGTTGCACTTACCATCCAAATTAGGTGGTGGGGGGTAGCAGGTGGCAGAGTGACTCTCGCTACTCGCATGATCGGCGCTCTCTCGCTCGCTCGCTCATTCACTCATTCGCCCACTCTCTCTCTCGCTCCCTTTCGTTCCCTCTCACTCTCTTTTTTTATTGTATTTTTTTATTATTATTTTTCGTAATGTTTTATTTTTTAATAACTTTGCTTTAAGTAAACCCCCATCTCTCGCTCACTCTCTGGCTCACTCTCTCGCTCACCCTCTCGCTCACCCTCTCGCTCACCCTCTCGCTCACCCTCTCGCTCACCCTCTCGCTCACCCTCTCGCTCACCCTCTCGCTCACCCTCTCGCTCACCCTCTCGCTCACCCTCTCGCTCACCCTCTCGCTCACCCTCTCGCTCACTCTCTCGCTCACTCTCTCGCTCACTCTCTCGCTCACCCTCTCGCTCACTCTCTCGCTAACTCTCTCGCTCACTCTCTCGCTCACCCTCTCGCTCACTCTCTCGCTCACCCTCTCGCTCACTCTCTCGCTCACTCTCTCGCTCACTCTCTCGGTTACTCTCTCGCTCAACCTCTCGCTCACTCTCTCGCTCACTCTCTCGGTCACTCTCTCGCTCACCCTCTCGCTCACCCTCTCGCTCACTCTCTCGCTCACCCTCTCGCTCACTCTCTCGGTCACTCTCTCGCTCACCCTCTCGCTCACTCTCTCGGTCACTCTCTCGCTCACCCTCTCGCTCACTCTCTCGGTCACTCTCTCGCTCACTCTCTCGCTCACCCTCTCGCTCACTCTCTCGCTAACTTTCTCCCTCACTCTCTCGCTCACTCTCTCGCTCACCCTCTCGCTCACTCTCTCGCTCACCCTCTCGCTCACTCTCTCGCTCACTCTCTCGCTCACTCTCTCGGTCACTCTCTCGCTCACCCTCTCGCTCACTCTCTCGCTCACTCTCTCGCTCACCCTCTCGCTCACCCTCTCGGTCACTCTCTCGCTCACTCTCTCGCTCACTCTCTCGCTCACCCTCTCGCTCACTCTCTCGCTCACCCTCTCGCTCACTCTCTCGGTCACTCTCTCGCTCACTCTCTTGCTCACCCTCTCGCTCACTCTCTCGGTCACTTTCTCGCTCACTCTCTCGCTCACTCTCTCGGTCACTCTCTCGCTCACTCTCTCTGTCACTCTCTCGCTCATTCTCTCGCTCACTTTCTCTACCCCCTCTCTCTCTACCCCCTCTCTCCTTACTCCATGTCGCTCTTTTTCTCTTTCGTTCCCCCTCGCTCTTTCGCTCATTCGCCCACTCTCCTTCGTTTCCTCATCGTGGCGTGCGCGATGACCACCACCACCACGTGACTTTTATTTCGTGTTGTGCGCGGTGCTTTTAGCGCCACAGCGCGTGGATTTGTAGCGTTTGTTTTCATTCGTTTTCCGGTGACTTTGTGTATTTCATATCGGAATCGCCTCCAGTGCTGTTGCTGCTGGCGGCAATAAAAATTGTTTGAAAGTCTTTCGTCCTCTCGCTCTGTCATGCTATGCTCGCTGGCTCCATCTCTCGCCTAGTATACAGGTGTAGCTCTTCATTGGTTCCTCATTTGCCCGTAAAAAATATGGTAATTGTTTTTTTACCCTTTTATCTGGCAACACAACTGACACCTTTTTTTACGAGGAGTCATGTTTGCAAAGACCACAATACCTGCAGTCATAATGCAAATGAAAAACACAACTCTGATAATGTATGCACTGTCCTTGAAGTTGATTGGTCCACACCCGAGACAGCTTTCCTTAGAGCCTAGTCTCCATTGGTGTTGGACCAGATGAAGCCAAAAGGCGTACAACTCAAAGACAGCGCACTGTCAGAGTATTGAGAGCTCGGGGTAAGCATTTACACCATTGGGACCTCATTTGCCAGTAAAAAATATGATAATTGTTTTTTTACCCTTTCAACTGGTACAAAAACTGACACCTTTATACAAGGCATCATGTTTGCAATAACCACAACACAAGCAGTCAAAATGCAAACAAAAATAAACAACTCTGATAATCTTAATTTTGGAGCTTTCGTGACTGCAGGAATTATTCTTTGGTTCTTTCGGTAAAGTCACGTATAAAGATAAAATAATAAATTAAATAATAGCATACGACGTTTCGATTGCAACACAAGCAATCATCATCAGGTATAATGAAATAGCGACATAGAATCTAACCAGAAAACTATAGACAGACATGTAAGCAGACAGATATCACCAAGATACATAGAGAGAGAGTAACACAGGTACAGAGAGGGGTGATCGTCTCTGTGGGGTGCCCTCTGTCTATTTAAGGCCACCCCACAGAGACGATCACCCCTCTCTGTACCTGGGTTGCTCTCTCTATGTATCTTGGTGATATCTGTCTGCTTATATGTCTGTCTATAGTTTTCTGGTTAGATTCTATGTCGCTATTTAACTCTGATAATGCCGCGACCAGCCACAAGTCGCAGCCGCTCGCGAAGATGACCCGAGTTTATTAGCTCCTTTGACGAGATCAGCATTTGACCCTGATAGTCTGTCAAGGCTGTACGGTGGAATCCGTTTTTACTTTTAAAAATGTGTGCGTGTCTTCTTGGTTCTTTCGATAAAGTCACGTAGAAGGGAAATAATACAATAATAAAAATAAAACATAATAATACAATTCTCACGACGTTTCGGCCACAACGCAAGCAGCCGTCCTCAGGTGAAGAACGGGTCTGTCTCATTCAGACGCTGTCTTCCCGACAGACCTGTTCTTCACCTGAGGACGGCTGCTTGCAGTTGTGGCCGAAACGTCGTGAGAATTGTATTTTATTATGTTTTATTTTTATTTTTATTATTTTATCATTTCCCTTCTACGTGACTTTACCGAAAGAACCAAGAAGACGAATCCCTGCAGTCACGAAAGCTTTAAATCGAAACGTGTGTTGGTGTGTGTGTGTTTGTTTTCTTTGGCGTGCAGACAGCTTCGGCAGGGCGAGCAGCAGCAGCAGCAGCCGCAGCAGCAGCAGCAGTAGCAGCAGCAGCATGCCAGACTCACCGGTGGACGTGAAGGTTCCAGCTCGCTCCAGCGCCACACCTCCAGCCATGCCTCCACCTCCTGCCGCAGTCGCCCAAGGAGCCCCGCGAGCCAGCACCTACACGCCCACCGCCAGTACGTGCGGCACACACGCACGCACCTACACGCCCACGTGCGGCGCACACGCACGCACCTGCACGCCCACCGCCAGTACGTGCGGCACACACGCACGCACCTACACGCCCGCCGCCAGTACGTGCGGCACACACGCCCGCACCTACACGCCCACCGCCAGTACGTGCGGCGCACACGCACGCACCTACACGCCCACGTGCGGCGTACACGCACGCACCTGCACGCCCACCGCCAGTACGTGCAGCGCACACACGCACGCACCTACACGCCCACCGCCAGTACGTGCGGCACACACGCACGCACCTGCACGCCCACCGCCAGTACGTGCAGCGCATACATGCGCGCACCTACACGCCCACCGCCAGTACGTGCGGCGCACACGCACACACCTACACACCCATGTGCAGCGGACACGCACGCACCTACACGCCCACGTGCGGCACACGCACGCACCTACACACCCACGTGCAGCGCACACGCACGTACCTACATGCCCACCGCTAGTACGTGCGGCGGACACGCACGCACCTACACGCCCACGTGCGGCGCACACGCGCGCACCTACACGCCCACCGCCAGTACGTGCAGCGCACACGCACGCACCTACACGCCCACCGCCAGTACGTGCAGCGCACACACGCGCGCACCTACACGCCCACGTGCAGTGGACACGCGCGCAGGTGAGATCAGAGCCATCCCTCGGGTAGACGGCGAATCAGGGCGAGAGCCCTGGGCCCTGCGCCTGTGGCAAGAGGGGGGAGAGGGGGGGGATCGCGTGTTCGACGTCACGGCGTCATCAGATGCAAAGCTTCCGATTGAGTTTGAAGGCGACGGGAGGGGGGGGTCAGCACGCAGTTGTAGCTTGCCCTGGGCCCCGCACCTCCCGGTCCCTGGGGGTGAGCCTGTAACGACGGTATCACGAGAGAGAGAGAGAGGGGGGAGAGGCAATGGAGAGAGCGAGAGAGAGAAGAAATTAGAGCGTCATCTCTGATGGACATTGACATCTGTGTCCCCCGGTGGTGCGCGTGAGTTCGCGGGTATTTTTCGCGCGTGTGTGCGCGTGTGTCAGTCCGCGCGTGTGCGCGCGTGTGTCAGTCCGCGTGTGTACGCGTGTGTCAGTCCGCGCGTGTGCGCGTGTGTGTCAGTCCGCGCGTGTGCGCGTGTGTCAGTCCGCGTGTGTGTGTGTGCGTGTGTGGGGAGCGGGGGTGCAGCGGTTAGCGCTATGCTGCGCTACGAACCTCGCGAGCCCCGGGTTCGATTCCCGCTCCGGGCCAACATCTGTGACGATTATCTGAACCGGTCCTGGGCCTCCCCTAGGTCGACTCAAATGAGTACCTGGCGCGGTGCGTAAAAACATCGCCACTAGGGAGACAAAGGCGGCCGGGCGTGGTGCTGGCCACCCATCCCCTCGCGTGCCGTTCTGGCCTTCATAGGTGCCCGCTAACGGCACTTGCCCCAACAGTTGTTGCAGGCTATGCGGGGGATCTTTGCGTGGGGAGCGGAGATGCAGCGGTTAGCGCGCTGCGCGACGAACTCCTTCGTACCCGAGTTCGATTCCCGGCCACGGCCACCATTCACCGGTTCTCGATCATCATCTGAGCCGGTCCTGCGCCCACACTCGCCCACCCCGGGGTGGACTCAACAGCTTTAAATGAGCACCCGCTTATGAGTTGTGTTAAACATCGGCAGTTGGGGAGACAAAGGCGGCCGGGCGTGGTTCTGGCCAACCATCCCCGTTCGTGCGCAGTGCCCGCCTTCATGGGTACGGCAGCACTCCGCGAACGGCACTTGCCCCGAAAAATCCGTTGAGGCTACACGGGGGATCTTTGCCTGTGCAATGCATGTATAAATAAGCAAGCGGGTACCCGTAGAGCCATCGGAGGGCAGGCGACTCGGGACGAGGCTGGCTCGGTGATAGCGGTCGTATTTGCAGAGCACGCGCACACTTTTTAGGGCAAGTCACAATTCCAGTTCTAAATTTAAATGCCACCACCACGACCACCACCAGCCAGCCACTAGCCACTACCCAGCCACCACCAACCAGCCAGCCAGCTACCCAGCCACCACCAACCAGCCACCAATCATCACTCGCCAACAACCACCACCACCCAACTCCACCCACCCATCAACAACCACCACCATCACCAACCCGCCACCACCCACCAGCCACCAACCCGCCACCACCAACCAGCCAGTCACCAATCATCACTCGCCACCACCCACCACCACCCACCCATCACCAACCACCACCACCAACCCGCCACAACCAACCAGCCACCAATCATCACCCACCACCCATCACCACCCACCACCAATCACCACCACCACCACCAACCCACCACCACACACCATCATCCACCACCCATCAACAACCACCACCCACCCATTACCAACCACCACCACACACCATCATCCACCACCCACCAACAACCACCACCCACCAACCACCCACCAATCATCACTCACCACCAACCACCACCCACCACCAATCACCACCACCACCACCACCACCAACCCACCACCACACACCATCATCCACCACCCACCAACAACCACCACCCACCCATCACCAACCACCACCACACACCATCATCCACCACCCACCAACAACCACCACCCACCCATCACCCCCTACCAACCACCGCCGTCACATCCCAAGACGTAACAGGTAACAAGAACAACAACAATAATGTCAACAACCTGTAACGCCTCGCCGCCCCTGCACTAAGAACCCGGCGACCCGTCTGCCAACACCAAGTGACGATTATCCGAACCGGTCCTGGGCCTCCCCTGGGTAGACTCAGCCTCAAATGAGTACCTGGTACGGCGTGTAAACATCGCCACTGGGGAGACAAAGGCGGCCGGGCGTGGTTTCTGGCCACCCACCCCCTCGTGTACCGTTCCGGCCTTCATAGATGCTGCTCGCTAACAGCACTTGTCCCAACCGTCTGCTATGAGGCTGTACGGGGGATCTTTGTCTTTGTGTGTGTGGTGGGGGGACGGCAGTGATTGCGTCTCGCTGAGCCCGATGACAGCAGCAAGGCAGGTGGCGGCCACTGCGGTGAAAGGAATGAGCGATGCAGAGGGGAGAGGCCGAGAGAGGGAGGCGAGAGGGGGGGGTAGGAAGCTGTAGGGGAGAGCGGCAGACAGGCTGGGTGGCAGAGAGAGAGAGGAGAGCGACTCGAGAGAAAGAGAATCAGAATGTTTTAGACTGCAGCAGGAGGAGGAATCCGATGAGCTATGAAGCTCTTTGTCACAAATGTCCAGCGTGGGCACGGGGGGCTCGGCGAACGAGACGCAAATAAACGAAAGGAGTGCTAAATAGAGCAAAAGGTGAGTAAGTCACCAACTACAAATCAATGATAAACGACTTCATGATATAAGTCCGATTTGTCAAGCTTGAGCAAGGCAGAAAAAATTAACCCGTAAAAACAAAGTTTTTCACTATAAATCCTTTATATGCGTGGCATCGGTTTTATTTGATTATTCATTTCTGTTTTTCTTGAGTAAGAGTTTCATTTTTATCACATTGGTATTTTAAATTAAATATGATTTTTTTTTCCCTAAAAAGTGGAACATTTTGGGGAAAAAAATTCACGCACAACGAGTCTGTGTGCAAAATGTCAGCTCGATTGGATCACGGGAAGTGGGTTAAAAAACGACCGAAAGATTTGCACGGTCGTAAGCGCGCAAGCAAGCACGCAAGTGAACTTAATATAAAGGATTAAAAAACAGTCCCAGACCAGAACCTCCCAGTTCAACCATTCTACACAACAAAGACTCATTCCTGGCAGGATATCAGCCGCACCACCTCTACATAACAAAAGGCTCAGTCCCATTTGCACGCACCTTTACATCATCCGCACCTAGTTTACACAACAAAGGCTCATTCCTAGCAGCGTGCTTCAGCCGCACCGAGCCTCACAAAAATAATATCCAGGGCCTACCTTGGCTCCTCCCACCCTCAACCAGTATATATACAAGGACTGTTTTTTTCTTGGTTCTTTCGGTAAAGTCACGTATAATGGAAATAATAAAATAATGAAATTAAAACATAATAATATTTTATTATACGTAATAATATTTTATTATGTTTTAATTTTATTATTTTATTATTTCCATTCTACGTGACTTTACCGAAAGAACCAAGAAGATGAATCCCTGCAGTCACGAAAGCTTTAAATCGAAATTTAAGGACTGTTTTCTTGGAATTTCTCTCACTTGATACAGCTATCGTGCTGTGACGGTTCCACCTGAAGACGGAAGCTTGTGTTACCTCCAAAACGTCGTGATTTTTATTTTACTTTTATTAATTTTAATTTAATTTTTTTTACCTACGTGACTTTACCGAAAAAACCCTACGAATATGTCCCAGACCACACCAAGATAAACGATTTAAATTTCCTATTTTCATTTCACCAGGTAAGACCCCACTCGGCTGTGTAGCTCTTTTTCAGAAGCGACGTGGCCATCACGAGTGATAGCTCAACGAAGCAGACTCGTCGTTTAGGAAACGCATTGCGTACAAACACTCCGAACGCATGTGACGGTGATTCTAAATGTGGGCGAGAGAAACGGAGGACCCTGAGAAAAATCCACGCGACCACGGGGAGACTTTTAGAATTTTTAAACAACTTTTATTGCCGCCAGCAGCAAAAGCACTGGAGGCGATTCCGATATGAAACACACAAAGTCACCAGCAACACAAATGAAAATTAACGCTACAAATCCACGCGCTGTAGCGCTAAAAGCACCGCGCACAACGCGAAAGAAAAGTCACGTGGTGGTGGTGTTGGTGATGGTGGTGGTCATCGCGCACGCCACGGTGACGAGCGAGCGCTTCAGAAGGTGAACACCACGAGGGTGCCGTCCACGCTGGTACTGAGAGGGGCTTTTCCGGCTCCCCAGCGTTCGAAGAAGACGTGCACATCACCGACATGTGTGTGGTACATGGCGTGCTCCAGCCGGAGCCGCGCCTTGAGCAGGCCCCTGAACGCTGGAAGCACAGAGCAGCCGTCAGTGTCACCTTCCAGCATCTTTTTTCTCGTTCTGTACATCGCCATCTTCGCCTGAGCACAGGAATTCCACGTTACTGTGGCGGTGGCCAGTCCATCCGCACAAGCACATGCGTTGGCTCCACGATTCCACGGCGATGCTCTGTCTCTTTCTCTCCCCCCCCCCCCCCCGTCTCAGAATGGTGTGAATGTTGAAACTCACAACAACATCAACAACAAATTAGTTCGTTTACGCGAAACCCACGTACCTGGCCGGATACGGGTACCCGTTCCCTACCCGGCCGCACCAGGGTCGCAAACGGGTACCCGTACCCGGCCGGGGACAGGTAGGGTACGGGTATCGGGTACCTGATTGCGACCTCTGGGATGAAGCCATGTTGCAGGCGCGGGTGGGTTGATTCTAGGAACTTGAATTGTGAGAAGAGACAAGACGTTGGGAAATGAGTGACAAACGGTGACTCACCAGTGACTCACGGCATACCCGTATCCGGCCGCACCAGGGTCGCAAACGGCTACCCGTACCTGGCCGGGTACGGGTAGCCGGGTATCGGGTAGGGTACGGGTATCGGGAACCCGGTTGCGACCTCTGGGTCCAACACGTGTCTCCAAGCTCACACGGTCGCTCCCGCCCCGCGTGTTTACGCAGTGATCAACGGTGGCTCCAGCCACTCTCCCACCGCTGCCTCTATCGGAGGGTCTCCCTCGTCCCCTCCGCACGGCTACCACGGACCCTCTCCCTCGCCCTCGTCTGGGTCCTCGTCCTCCTCCTCTTCGCTGTCTTCATCGTCGTCGTCGTCTGCGTCACTCTCCTTGTCCGCCGCGTCAACACTCGGGCAGCAGCAGCAGCACCACCAGTCACAGCATCACCACCATCACCACCACAACCACCACAGCAACCAGCAGCAGCATCATCATCAGCAGCAGCAGCATCATCATCAGCAGCAGCAGCAGCACCATCAGCAGCCGGTGCCGGCGGCTTGCGGTGCCAGGCAGCTGAGCAAGTTGAAGAGATTCCTGGCGACGCTGCAGCAGTTCGGCTCCGACATCTCGCCCGAGATCGGAGAGCGAGTGCGAGGATTGGTGCTCGGACTCGTGGTGAGTCTCTCTGCGCGCGTGTGTGTGTACACGTGTGTACACGTGTGTGTGTGTACGCGCGCGTGTGTGTGTACACGTGTGTGTGTGTACGCGCGCGTGTGTGTGTGTACACGTGTGTGTGTGTACGCGCGCGTGTGTGTGTGTGTGTACACGTGTGTGTGTGTACACACGTGTGTCCGTGTGGTGTACACACGTGTGTGTGGTGTGTGTAGACACGTGTGTGTGTGTACACACGTGTGTCCGTGTGGTGTACACACGTGTGTGTGGTGTGTGTAGACACGTGTGTGTGTGTACACGTGTGTGTGTACACGTGTGTGTGTACACACGTGTGTGTGTGTAGACACGTGTGTGTGTACACACGTGTGTGTGTGTACACACGTGTGTGTGTACACGTGTGTACACACGTGTGTGTGTGTACACGTGTGTGTGTGTGTACACACGTGTGTGTGTGTAGACACGTGTGTGTGTAGACACGTGTGTGTGTACGCGTGTGTGTACACGTGTGTGTGTGTACACGCGCGTGTGTGTGTGTAGACACGTGTGTGTGTACACACACGTGTGTGTGTACGTACACACGTGTGTGTGTACACGTGTGTGTACACGTATGTGTGTGTGTACACACGTGTGTGTGGTGTACACACGTGTGTGTGTGTAGACACGTGTGTGTGGTGTACACGTGTGTGTGTGGTGTACACGTGTGTGTGTGGTGTACACACGTGTGTGTGTGTACACACGTGTGTGTGTAGACACGTGTGTGTGTGTGTGTAGACACGTGTGTGTGTAGACACGTGTGTGTGTACACACGTGTGTGTGTGTACACGTGTGTGTACACAGGTGTGTGTGTGTACACGTGTGTGTGTGTAGACACGTGTGTGTGTGTAGACACGTGTGTGTGTGTGTGTACACGTGTGTGTGTGTGTGTGTAGACGTGTGTGTGTGTGTGTACACGTGTGTGTGTGTGTACACGTGTGTGTACACAGGTGTGTGTGTGTGTCCGAGTGTGTCCATGTGTGTCCGGGTGTGTGTACGCGCGCGTGTGTGTGTGTAGACACGTGTGTGTGTGTGTACACGTGTGTGTGTGTGTAGACACGTATGTGTGTGTACACACGTGTGTGTGTGTACACATGTGTGTCCGTGTGTGTGTGTACACACGTGTGTCCATGTGTGTCCGGGTGTGTGTGTACGCGCGTGTGTGTGTGTGTACACGTGTGTGTGTGTACACGTGTGTGTCCATGTGTGTCCGGGTGTGTGTGTGTACGCGTGGGGAGCGGTGGTGTAGTAGTCCGCGTGCTGCGCTACGAACCCGGCGACCCGAGTTCAATTCCCGCTCACGGCCACCACCAGTAACGATTATCTAAACCAGTCCTGGGCCTCCCCTAGGTCGACTAAGCCTCAAATGAGTACCTGTTGCGGTGTGTAAAACATCGCCTCTACAGAGACAAAGGCGGCCCGGCGTGGTTGCTGGGCCACCCACCCCCTCGTGTACCTGCCTTCATAGGTGCTTGCTCACAGCACTTGCCCCAACAGCCTGATCAGGTTATATGGGGGATTCATCTTCTTGGTTCTTTCGGTAAAGTCACGTAGAAGGGAAATAATAAAATAATAAAATAATAATACAATAATAATAAATTAATTCTCACGACGTTTCGGCCACAACGCAAGCAGCCGTCCTCAGGTGAAGAACAGGTCTGTCGGGGAGACAGCGTCTGAATGAAACACTACCACGCTTGGAGCGTATATTTAAGCTGGGTTGGAGGGGGAAGAGCGCCTTGACAAAATAATTTGCATATCAAGAGGAATTTAGCATATTTATGGGGAATGCATATATGGGATTAGTACTACTTGTGAAATGCGTAGGAGGTGGGCGGGGGGTTTCAAAGTCATATTATGCCCGTGCATTATGCAGGATTAGCAGCATCAAAGGGAGGGGATAGGGGTAGCATTAATAAAGGGAAGTAATGTTAATAGTATTTAGCTGCAGTAACTAAACTACATAGTATCATCAGTATACTAAATATACTTTCCAATAAGCTGAGCTACTAACAGTAAGTAATACATTACAATTCTACGTCGCAAAAAAATATCATATGCTTCCAGCTCATCTTTTTGGTTCTTTCGGTAAAGTCACGTAGAAGGGAAATAATAAAATAATAAAAATAAAACATAATAAAATAATATATTAATATATTATATAAAGGGGGGGAAGCAAGGAAAATAATAAAATAATAAAAATAAAACATAATAAAATAATATATTATCCTTCTACGTGACTTTTCCGAAAGAACCAAGAAGATGAATCCCTGCAGTCACGAAAGCTTTAAATCGAAATTTAACTGTCTGAAAGAAAATGTTTTTTTTCCAATGCTCTTAGATAAGTGACTGTTTTATCCCCCCTTCCTCTCAGGCTGTGAGTTGTTTTGTTGTTTCTTCCTCTAATTCTTATTCTTCTCCGATGGATTACAGCGGAAAGGGTTTAACGAAATCCGCACTTGTTCTGGCTGCAAGATGAATCCCTGCAGTCACGAAAGCTTGAAATCGATGCTTCCAGCTATATATGTGGGATCTTTGTCTTTGTACACGTGAGTCTGCGTGAGTATCCGCGTGAGTCCGCGTGAGTCCGCGACTCTCACGCTGTGGGCCGCCCTCCTCCCTTGCAGAACTCGAGTGTGACCATCGAGGAGTTCCACTCAAAGCTGCAGGAAGCAACCAACTTCCCGCTGAGGCCTTTCGTCATCCCCTTCCTGAAGGTAACGCGGACGGGGTCCGGGCGGGGGGGGGCAGGGGGGGCCAGGGGGGGGGGCAGGGGTGGGGGGGGGTTGAGGTCTAGGAGGGCTATATTCTTGGGTTTTTTCGGTAAAGTCACGTAGGTAAAAAAATTTAAATTTATTAAAATAAAAATAAAATAAAAATCACGACGTTTTGGAGGCAACACAAGCTTCCGTCTTCAGGTGGAACCGTCGTGATCGTCATCATCGTCCACCTGAAGACGGAAGCTTGTGTTGCCTCCGAAACATCGTGATTTTTATTTTTATTTCTTTTTATTTTACTTTTATTAATTGTAATTTTTTAACCTACGTGACTTTACCGAAAAACCCCAAGAATATGAATCCTTGCAGTCACGAAAGCTTAAAATCTAGTCTAGGAGGGGTACCAAGCCAAAGCTCAGCTCCTCAAGCAGCTCAAGACGATGAGCTCAGATCCATGAGCGAATAAAGGGGGGGGGGGGGCGGGCAAGGAAATAAGAGCTTTGACATTCTCCCGAACATGACAACAACAACAAGAAGCGACTTATCACGATGAAGTGAATGAGCGTATCTCATCATCGCTGCATCGCTCGCCTCTTGCCTCCGTGTCTCTCTCTCTCGCTCGTCTTGCTGCGTCTCTTATCTCTTCCCTTCATCCCTTGGGTCATCCTCACGGCAAGGAGTTTATACATCACAAGGAGGGGGTGTGGGGTTGGCGTGGCGACGCAGGCTGCATAAATAATGCTGTGCACCCCCTCCACTCTCCCCTGTTGGGCCAGCTGCATCGTCGTGATCGTCATCATCGTCATCATCGTCATCAGCAGCATCGTCATGATCGTCATCATCGTCATCATCGTCATCAGCAGCATCGTCATGATCGTCATCATCGTCACCATCATCAGCATCATCGTCATGATCGTCATCATCGTCACCATCATCAGCATCATCGTCGTGATCGTCATCATCATCATCATCAGCAGCATCGTCGTGACCGTCATCATCGTCATCATCATCAGCATCATCGTCGTGATCGTCATCATCGTCATCAGCAAGCATCGTCATGATCATCATCATCTTTATTTTTTTATCTTACTAGGCAAAGCCCATGATGATGGCCTTCTCGTTCCGAACGGCGGGTAGTAGTCGTATATACATATATTCTTTTCATGGCTAACTCAAGCGCGCTAATTAACCGGGGCTGCCCGCCGGTTTCGAACCGCGACGCTCTGCAAACAAAAAGGTCGAACGCCCCCTGCGTCTGAGCCCTGTCAGCGAGATCACTGCAATCAGCGGCATGAGGATAACGACAGTGATCATCGCGGTTATCAGCAGCGCCGACGTGCTGATTGAGTAACCTCGAATTACAGAGTCCAGCCTTTTGTCAATTGTGCCCGGCTGCAAAGACAAAGATCCCCCAGGTAGAGCATTTAACAGACTCTCGGGGCAAGTGCCGTTACCTTGCCGATCTCGTCGAGGCGGGCATAAAGCTCTCGCCGCGCGAACTCCGCTCATCCTCGCTAGCAGGAACAAAGACCGTCACAGATGACGCACACGGTCACGTGTCCTCCTGTGTGGCTTCTGCAAGAGGTTGATCCCGGCCTTTCAGAGCCACGTGGTGGGGATTTAGCCAAGACCCACACAAATCGCACACATCAACCGTCGTCACGAGGACTCCGCTCGTCATCATCATCAGCATCATCAGCAGCAGCGGTGCCCAGCGTCGAACAAAAGCGGTGGTCACCGCGCCATCGCGCGGCGCTTTCAAATGCGCTCCTGCGGCCGTCTGGAAAGTTCTGTTCGCGAGTAGCACCTATGCAGGGCACGCGAGGGGGCGGGTGGCGAACAACCGCACGCCCGGCCGCCTTTGTCTCCCCAGCTTTGACGTTTTACGCACACACACCGCTGGGTCTACCTAGGAGAAGCACAAAGACAAATACAAAGATCCCCCGTATAGCCTTCACGGACTGTAGGGGCAAGTGCTGTTAGCGAGCACCTGTAAAGGCCGGCACGTCAACACGAGGGGGTGGGTGGCCAACACCACGCCCGGCCGCCTTTGCCTCCCCAGTGGCGATGTTTACACACCGCACCGGGTACTCATTTGAGGCTGAGTCGACCTAGGGGAGGCCCAGGACCGGTTCAGATAAATCGTCACCGGCGTTGGCAGACGTGAGCGGGAATCGAACCCGGGTCGCCAGGTTCGTAGCGCAGCGTAGCGCTAACCGCCGCGCCACCGCTCCCCCCGTTGCAAATACAACGATCACCACCTCCCCCACCACCTCCCCCACCCCTCCCTATTGGCCTTCCATCCAGCAGCGGATCGACCACGGCTGGAGGTGTTGATGACGTCACACACACACACGATACCCGCGCTGCTGGCACGGGCATCTGGGCGCAGCTGTCCCGAGCCGCGTGTTTTTGTTTATCACGAAGCGGTAGGGGAGGGTGGGTGGGGTGGGGGTGGGTGGGGGGGGGGTGGGGGGTGGGGGTGGGGGGGGTGGGTGGGTGGGTGGGTGGTGGGGGTGGGCGGGTGGTGGGGGTGGGGAGGGTGGGTGGGGGTGGGTGGTGGGGGGGGGGTGGTGGGGGTGGGTGGGGGTGGGTGGGTGGTGGGTGGGGGTGGGGGTGGGTGGGTGGGGGTGGGTGGGGGCTGGGAGGGGGAGGGTGGGGGCTGCGAGGGGATGGGTGGGGGTGGATGGGGGTGGTGGGGATGGGTGGTGGGGGTGGGTGGGTGGTGGGGGTGGTGGGGGTGGGTGGGGGTGAGGTTGGTGGGGGTGGGGGGAGGGTGGGTGGGTGGGGGTGGGGGGGGGCTGCGAGGGGTTGGGGGGAGGCTGCGAGGGGGTTGGTAGGTGGTGGTGGGTGGGGGGGGGCTGCGAGGGGGGTGGGGGGGGACTGCGAGGGGGTTGGGGGGGGCTGCGAGGGGGAGGGTGGGGGGATATTTGTTTATGTTTATTTTCTCAAATTCCAAGAACTGCAAGGAAAACATCTGCCCCTGCTGTGGCCTCCTGTGGTCCTCTGCACGCGCGCGTGCGTGCGTGTGTATGTGTGTAGTGGGGAGGCTATACGGGGGATCTTTGTCTTTGTTATTGAGGAGCGGTGGCGCAGCGGTTAGCGGTGCGAAGCCAAGCCGCGACCCGAGTTCGATGCTCGCTCGCGGCCAACGCCGCTGAAGAACGCCCGAACCCGCCCTGTGCCTAACCACCCCCCCCCCCTAGGTCGACTCAGCCTCAATTGAATACCTGGCGCGGTGTGTCAAAACATCGCCACTCGGGGGGGGCGGGCGGGGGGCGGGGAGACAAAAGCGGTCCGTGGGGGACGCGGTGCTGGCCACCCACACCCTCGTGCGCAGTAAACAGCACTTGCCCCGACAGCCTGTTGAAGGCTATACGGGGGACCTTTGTCTGTGTGCGCACACGTGCACGCGCACGCGCGCGTCTCCAGATTTTGTTCTCAAGCTGCGAGTCGCAGCTCGCGCTGTGCGGCAGATGCTGGAATATTTTGTTATTTATTTTATTATTATTTTATTTCACATTCAAATAAATAGTTGTTCGTTTCGTTTTTAAATAAATAATCACTGTTTATTATCTGTAGCAGGTGAGCAGGCCTCACCTGCTACAAATGACAGCAGCTCCACAAAGTGGTGGATCATCATCATCAGCAGCAGCATCCTCCGCGTGGACATTTATAGCAGCAGGCAAATAAATAACTCCCTAAACGCGTGGTGGGGAAAAAACCGTAGGACCAAAAATCCACGCGACCACGGGGAGAGAGAGAGACGCACGCAGACTTCAAATGTACAGCAGCAGGCGTCGTCAGGGTCGGGATCGAACCCACGACCTCCTGCACACCGGGCGAGGTAGTTAACATCTCCTAGCCACCGTGATGATGATGATGAGAGAGAGACACGCAAACTCCAAATATACAGCAGCAGGCGTCGTCAGGGTCGGGATCGAACCCACAACCTCCTGCACACCAGGCGAGGTAGTTAACATCTCCTAGCCACCGTGATGATGATGATGAGAGAGAGACACGCAAACTCCAAATATACAGCAGCAGGCGTCGTCAGGGTCGGGATCGAACCCACAACCTCCTGCACACCAGGCGAGGTAGTTAACATTTCCTCGCCACTGTGATGATGATGATGAGAGACACGCAAACTCCAATATACAGCAGCAGGCGTCGTCAGGGTCGGGATCGAACCCACGACCTCCTATATACCAGGCGAGGTGGTTAACATCTCCGAGCCACCGTGATCATGATGATGATGATGAGAGACACGCAAACTCCAAATATACAGCAGCAGGCGTCGTCAGGGTCGGGATCGAACTCACGACCTCCTATATACCAGGCGAGGTGGTTAACATCTCCTAGCCACCGTGATGATGATGATGATGAGAGAGAGAGACACGCAAACTCCAAATATACAGCAGCAGGCGTCGTCAGGGTCGGGATCGAACTCACGACCTCCTAATATACCAGGCGAGGTGGTTAACATCTCCTAGCCACCGTGATGATGATGATGATGAGAGAGAGAGACACGCAAACTCCAAATATACAGCAGCAGGCGTCGTCAGGGTCGGGATCGAACCCACGACCTCCTGTATACCAGGCGAGGTAGTTAACATCTCCTAGCCACCGTGATGATGATGATGAGAGAGAGAGACACGCAAACTCCAAATATACAGCAGCAGGCGTCGTCAGGGTCGGGATCGAACCCACGACCTCCTGTATACCAGGCGAGGTGGTTAACATCTCCTAGCCACCGTGATGATGATGATGAGAGATACGCAAACTCCAAATATACAGCAGAGGTCGTCAGGGTCGGGATCGAACCCACAACCTCCTGTATACCAGGCGAGGTGGTTAACATCTCCTAGCCACCGTGATGATGATGATGAGAGAGAGAGAGACACGCAAACTCCAAATATACAGCAGCAGGCGTCGTCAGGGTCGGGATCGAACCCACGACCTCCTGTATACCAGGCGAGGTAGTTAACATCTCCTAGCAA